ACAAGCTAAGACATTGTTGAACCCTTATCCCTCAAAGCTGAGAGTGAAACAGAGTAATCCTATAATTTCTTACACAGGACCTGCGAAAGGCACTGGGGAAGAAAATGGCAAAAGCAGGAGAGAGTTGAGGGTATATGACGAATAAAGATGAGCATTGTGTGTGTGTGTGTGGTGTGCGTGTGTCTGTCTGTCTGTCTGATGGCCGAAATTGTGCTGTATATCGTTTGACATCCTGAGTGCCTTTTAGGTGAATGTGTGTGCATGTGTGTCACCTCCAGCACTGTGTGGTGGTTCAACCTACTAGACAAATACAAACACTTCCACCCTGTAAGGCAAGATAAACTGCCACTGATTAGAAACAAGACTCTGTGTGTGTGTGTGTGTAACACCACAGGAAACCATGCCTGTTTCCTGCCAAGAACCTTTATTATTTTTCAATCTTTCTTTCCCCATCCTCACTCACTCTCTTCATTCAATGTCTGTTTATTCTCCTTCAGCGTCACTGCACTATGGCCCACAAACCCAGGGCGATGGACAGTCTCTCTGGCCCACCTACCTGTGCGGCATCAGGCTGCACAGGTAAATTTAAGTTCTGTTTGGGTATCAATCCACCCCCCACTTAATAAAGTCCCAGTCAGCTCTTTGTCACCTCAACACTCCCTCACGTTATTAACCTACATACAGCAAAAGCAAAAAGCTCATTATGAATGACCAACAAGACAAACACGTTTAAGTTACAGGACAGGGGGCCCTCCGCCAACACACACTAATGACCCTCAGTCAAAGGAAAACAAATCACACACACATACAATGTGAGCTATAAGTCAATAAATGCTTGTACACATGTAATGTGTGTGTGTGTGTGTGTGTGTGTGTGTGGTGTGTGGGTGTGAGAGGAGAGAGAGGAGAAGAAGAAGAGGAGGGTTGACGAAGGGGAGAGAGATAGAGAGAGACTCTTGAGGAATGCTCTTAGCGCTGTTGTAGTAGCTGAGGACAGGAAATGGATTCCCAGAGACAGGAAGTAACTTCGTGGAGAGAGGAAGTGTTTGCCGGCATCCGCCCTCTGTCTGTTGGATGGGGAAGGAAGGCGAGGGGGTGAGGAGTGGAGGGAGAGGGAGAATGAAATAGAGAGTTGTTTAAGGAAGAAGAGAGAGGGAGAGAGAGAGAGCAATGGAGCGTGTTAGTAGGTGTGAGGGAGAGCCAGATGATGCCTGCCTTAAAAAACAACAGATTTCCAATGTTGTCTTAAGCAGAAGTGTTGCCAACGTTTTTCTCCTACGCTGTAATACATTAAAATAATATTATTTACCTCATGGACAGTCTGAATTGAAATTGAAAATTTGAAAATTGAAAGCCTTTATTGGTACACAGGTACAATGAAGATTTGGAGGAGCAGGCTCCGTAAAAGTTGCACACGATAAGACTATCAGCAGCTACACAGAGCAGTATTTATCTAATTATTACATTAGTTGCAAGTTGAATTTTAGCAGTGAGGTTATTGGTGACAGCTTAGGGAGGAAAAGTTTACTCCCTCGAGAGGCTCCTGGTTGTGTTCTGGCCCTATTGGACGCTGAAGATGCCTGCTGCGGGCAAGAGGTCTCAACCACAGCGCGGAAGCGGGGTGGGTGCGTGTCCCTCAGGTTTCTGGCCCTGCTGAGGGGGAGAACTGTGAGCCGCTGCGTCTGTGCGCGCCGCCATCTTGCAACGCCATCTACTGACCAGTGCATAATCCATACATGGCTGAATTATTCTAGAAAATGAATAAAGTGGATTAGCACACAGCTGGTTTATGATAACAGAGACCTTTTGTAAATAAATAAATACCAAACCAACAAAGCAGAAGAGGAAAGCTAAGGATTGTGCTGTTGTAGAAGGCCAAAGGTATGTAGACAGTCCTGTCCACATTCTTGCTCCATTAGGTCTATAATATTTTGGGATGGAAATTGCTGAAGTCAATATCACTAATCTGCCTCATAGGGCGTCACAGCATACATCACCCTCTATCCCTACCGACCCTCGATTAAGATAAGAGCAACAGGAGGAGTGACGTACAAACATGCTAACATATATGAGAAAACGTAAGGTGCATCATAAAATGGTCCTTTTAGTTTGGTGAAGAAGGAGTTTAAAAAGTGTTAAATCTTAAAGCCAGAAGAGTAGAGGCAGTAAGCGGCAGATTGATACCGATGTTTTTGAATGAGATGTATATCTACATACATCTCATACATACACTGGCCATGTAGTGTAGTTATTTATCGTATCTGAATTACAATGTCTATGTCTATGTCCAGGTCACCTCCTCAATCGCACACTCTGCAATTCTCCCAAGAGAGAGATTGTTCAAGATGAAAGGTCAGCGGTCAGCACAGTGTGTGTGTGCGTGTGCCTGTGTGTGTGTGTGTCTGTGTGTGTGTGCCTGTACATAAGGAGGCTAGCTGAGGAACTTGAGCTCAGAGCAGGAGCAACATACCACACACACACAGACATAGAAACAAAGTCGATCTTTGTCACATTGCCTCTGTATGTCACCATCATGGCTTCTCTGGACTGGTTCCTGACTGTCACTCTGTCTCTAAAGACATGAAGATAAAACTGACAGAGGACCTAAAGCCAAACATTATACTGGACTAAAACTCATTATTTTACTGTAAGCATCAACTGACAATAACTCAGCCAACTAAGGGTCACTTGAAATTTTAAACTATGATGCAAACAGATGAGGGGAAATGAGCGGCTCTGTCGAGGCATGTTGTTGTGAGGAATAAAGTTCAATGTAGCGTATGTGTGTGCGTGTGGAGATGGCACTCGATGGACAGATGGTCCTTTGTGACTCCTGACACCTGCCAGCTGCCGCTCCGCTCCTCTCACCTCATCCTCTCTTTCCTTTTCTCCTCTCTTCTTTTCTTCTTCTTCTCTGCTCTATTCGTCCAGCCTTTCCTTTCTCTTTGTCCTCTACTTTTTGCTGTTATTCAAAGACATTGAGAAGATCAAAAAGTTGAGCTGGGACTAAGAGGTGTGCTCAGGATGTATTCAGTTGTGTAAATTCACACATTCACACATATTATTCAGCTGGTTTTGTCTATAAAACAACTTGTTGGACTGATAATGTTTATTAAAGCTTTTTCTTGTGTTTTGAGGCTTATAAAAGTTAAACTGAGATTACATTATGCCCAATATGAGCATGATGTACTTAGCTGCAGTGTAGCGCTGTGATAAAAGAAATAATGGGAGAGACCAGCGGTGGTTAGCTTGATTGTAACCGAAAGCTTTCAGGTTCAGATTCCTCAGCAATCCAGTCTTAACATCTACCATCCAGCTGCTGTTGAGCGAGGCATTTTTTAACCACTTAGAAACCACAGTGTCTGTGGAGAAGTCGGAGTAGGTACTGCATTTTGAGGCAGAACGCAAAAAACACTCATGGCTAAATCTAAAATGTTATAAACTGTTTTTATTTCCTCATTATGCTGGTGTTTTCAACCGCAGAAAATAGACGTTTCTTTCTTTTCAAAGTGGATGAACTTGGACACAGTGGTCTGTTGCTGTATTGTTGCAAGGTAAAGAAAAGGGGTTTCACAAAAATGCTGAGGTTTGATGGTCACGTGATCGCAGTCGTTTGACCTGTTTTTGAGCATCCTGACTCACTGGCACAAACTGGTTGGGGTCTCTTTTTTTTCATGTTTGTTCTGTAAACAACAAACAATGTCACCAAAACAGCAGAAAAGCCGCTCGGCTGACATTTCACCAGGCTGTTGGCCGATGCCCAGTGAAAGAGGCAGGAGCGTTTTTGTTTTAGAATTTTCTTTATGGATGGTAAACATTTCCAAAAAGTTTAGTAAACACAGTGAGGAACATATTGTGGTCATGGCAGTGGGTTAAAGTTAAAGTGTAAGTGTGGAGGTTTATGCAAAGATCTTGCTTTACTATCTGTGATTTACGTGTGTGTTAAGATAAATACAAAGAAAAGTTGAGGTATTGATAAAGATGTGCAGAAGTATGATTTTAGGCTACTCTGAGGTCTTTATTACGGACTCTGCAATGTAAATGCCACCAAAAACAGTCACGGACAGTAACATCACACAGTATGTGCAGACAGAAGATTCATTCATGAAAGCAGCATAGACAACACTTTAAGCAACAGTGATCATTGTTTATGTAGAGTTACAAAGTTACAAGATGTACCGATTACATAATGCTGCCAGGCCCGCAGGAGCAGATTCACATTTATTTAAAATTTGGATGGAAACGTACCTAATGAGGATTAACGCTACACATTAGCAAAATAAAAGCATCCAGGAGAAAAGGAAGAATTTTGGTGTTTGTTAATGTTTACTTCAATGGCAGCCGGTACACAGCCGCTCACAGCTGTTCAAGGCAAGAGTTTTCTTTTCTCCTGAGTCATGATGTCACCGCGATCTACGGTTGGAAGAAATGTTTGAAATGGGAAAAGAGGGTCCACTGCTGTGTGTTGTTTTCCCTGCTGGGTGACACGTGGGTTTAAAAAAGTCTGAGTGAATTCCAGACTCACTCTCACAGCCTGAGAAAACAATCCAGTCTGCCCGCCGGACTGTCACTCTCACCTCCTCTCTGTCTCTATGTAGGACAGTCAGTCAGCGAGGACAGCTGGCTGGCTGAGTGTGGATGTATATCTGCGTATGTGTAGGTATCTGGGTTTATGTGTGTGTGTGTCTCTCTCTCTCTTTTTTTGTGTGTGTGTGATCCTAAGAGGTCAGAGATCAAGCTGTGGTTCACAGAGAGCCACGTTGTTCCCCTCCCAACAGGAAGGGAGGGCACTGTCCATATGCTGTCTTCACTCACACACACACACACACACAAATATAGGTTCACACGCTCACACACAATACAGATTGGTATAGTTACAAATGCCAACAGGTACACACATGAGCTCACACAAACACATACAGACATACAGACACAATACACACACTCATACACTAACACATTTTAACACACTGATATACAAATATGCACCACTTTACACACATGGATGTCAACAAGTACACAAACGGCAGTTCACACTATGTCGAGACTATGCTGGACAAATCAGTAAAAAATTGTTTTTCGCTCAGTTTTGGAGACACTCAAAACTAAGATAGTTAGATAAAGTACCCTGTGGAGTTTTTGACCACTAGTAGCACTATGGAGCAATGTTTTTATGAGTGGGTCTAGGTTTTGTTTGTATGTGTATGAGGACACTTGCATGCATGTGGGTTCATATTCACATCTGTGTTGCCAGTAGCTAGTTAGCTATTTAACATGCATCGAAACAATGAAGGAATTACAAGATCCAAAAAATGAGCTTTGCAGTTTTTATTGAAGAAGAAACATTTGTTAGACCTCAAGGATACACGCTGAATGTAAACCTAACTCTTTTGTTTACAAATTCCTAAAAAGCAGCTTCACAAAAGTGTCTCCAGAGTGGATATTAGAAAATGCTGATGAAAAGTGTGTTTAAAGCTGTTCCATACTTAAATCACATGGTGACAACTGAGGAAACTGCATCCACTGAGTAACAACGTAAGATTAACTTAAAAGAGCCAGGCACTGAAATAAGATTTCTTTGTCAGAAGCAGACTGAGACCTCAAGTGTGGTCGAGGGCTGTGTGGCAGTAAAGTTCAGACTTGTGATCACTCATTTTAAATGTCATTATAAGCGATCACACAGCACAGGTATTGTCTTTAACCTGTATTTATGTTTATGTATCTTTGTAGAAACAACCTGAAATACAAGTGTGGACATGTGGTTTTCACATGTAAACAGCGTTCTCCTCAAGTCTCGGTGCCGAAAGCTCTTTAGGACAGCAGTGCGAAAGTTTGGGACTCTGCTGTGAAATGAAGACACTTTCTCTATCAACCTTCTGTCTCCCCCTCCCCTCAAATACAAACACTTTCACTTTTCTAGCATACTCACTGACACTTGTTTGGCTCTCTCTCTCTCTAGCTGAAGAGACACTTATTTTTCTTTCAGATTACTTTATCTCCTCTCTGCCAGCAGGATTCAGACATAAGCACTGAGTGTGTGCAGCCAGAAGACAGCTGCATACAGCTGTGTCCTGATTGTGTTTGACAGCATCTTTTACAGGCTTTAGAGGTATTACACATGCACGCTGTGGAGGGTTTTAGAATTTATTGTAACTTCAGACAAAAACAGAGATAAAAAACAGAGGACAGCTGTGTTCACACACACACCTTGTTACTACACAAACATAGGAGGGAGTTCTGAGCAGAAAATGTAAAGACGCAAAGAGATTTTTCAGTCAAAAAAGCCAAATATCCAAGATGAAGGCAAAAGAGTAATCTCCATGGTTTAACTGTGACTCCTGGAAACATAATCCAAGACTACTTTTAATCTCCAGAGAAACTGTTGCTACTCTGCATTGTTGGCTGTGTTGTAATCCCTTCAACTCTTCCTCATCACATGTGAATGTAAAGTGGGCGGTAATCAATAAAAGGTTTGGTGGAGGAAGTAAATATAGACAGTATATTCCCCAAACAATCTACTTCTTTATCAGGGATAATGTGAGATATGCATTGTCCTTACTGTCTTTATGGGGTATATTATACAGTATTAAAACCACTCAACATCAAATCATGTTTATTCTTTGTTCTTTATATTATTGTTTTAAGTTCTGTTCTCAGTCTGTGGCAATACAGTTGTAAGTACAAATTGATTTGGTAAGTCTACTATGTTTTACCAAACAACAATGTAAGTCCTCCAAAAACCTCTCATTCTGACAAAGCCTGATATATTCAGCAGAGACCTTTTGGAAGCTTTCTGTGTAAAAACAGCTCCATCACAGAAACCACTGACCAGTGCTTCTGGGTTGGATTTTTAAATATTTCCAAGCCAAATAGAAAAAAAAAGGAATATGATAGCTGCGCCTCATTGTTCTTACAACACTGAATACACAGTTATTATCCTTTCGCCTCCTTTTAAACAAAAAACAAAACTGTTTAAAAGTTTAACGCTGAGTAAATAAACTGATTGGACATAGCGCAGTTGGATCATTATTCTAGCTGCTTAAGACAGACAAACAGAAACAATGTTGTCACACGTCCCCATCTGGACTCAACATTTCTATCACAACAGGCAGGTGATACACACCGGGACACACACACTATTAGAGGAATGCTAAAGCAAATGTTTACTGTTTACACTGGACCTCTTGTTGTTGTTTACGTACCTTCACTTGTAATTGTTGTTTGGGCTGTAAATCTGACATCAGCAATAGCAGTGTTGCATCCAGCTAGCCAGACTCTAAAAACTACACTTAAAAGAAAGAAGTTATAGATTGTTTTTACTCCATAATCCACAATCACAGGGGCTATGGATAATAATTTAATTTCTAACAATGATTGCAATGAATATTTGTATTGATACATAAAGACCTTTCACTTTCCCCATCTGAGTCGAGTTCAGAGGCTGTAACAGCATGTTCAAACGCCACACACTCAAAATAAATATTTACTCTCCTATAAATTATTTTGAGCAGCATAAACACAGATTTCAGCTCCATATGTGAACTAATTACTCACCTGTCAACATTTCTTAGCAAACAAATATTTGTTTCTCACACTTTATTATTCAGTTTGGAGATGTTGCACCACCCTGCAATGCTGCTGCAGTTCCCCCGTCTGTGTCTGTATTAGGAAGTAGTAGTAAGATAGCAAGTAGATATAAAAGAAACATTTTGAAATTGCTCTAATGAACTGGTGAGATGCATCTATTGACAGTATATATATGTAGGGATCCATCATACTGCACAACACAAAAGGACAATTTAAAAAAAGAAAAACACTAGCGCCCCCGATGGTCCAATCCATGTAACTATGAAGAACCCAGACACACAGCAGTGTTTCCATCATTAGTGAGAGAAAACCCAAAAGTAACAGTATAAAAGTCAAATAAAAATGATGAAAACCACAATGTCCACCTGAACTTGGTTAGAATCTGTCTCTGCTTTCTGTTTCTGACAGTGTCAACATATTCTACCAATCTATATCTCTCTTTATGGTCAGACAATATTCTAATCTACTTTGGTTTTTAGTTTCTTCTTTCTAATGTTCCTTGTAGATTTCTTTACAATGCTTTATCATTTGTTTTACTCTGATTGGTGCTTGAAGTGTTGTTGTGAGACTAATCAGTGTGTCTGAGACCATCTGAGAGCACTCTGTTCTGGGCTCTGCTCTTGGGTTTGGAGAGCTTTTGAATGGAGCGTGACATTGAGCTGGGTTTTAAGGTGATTAAAAAAATTCAAAAGTGTTTTCTTTTAAATGTTAGTTATCAGTGGGTATCTGCCTAATTCTGCTCTCCGTGCATTTGTTGGTGATTTTCTGTGTGCGTGTAAAATGTATGTGCAGAATCCTGCATGTAAAGATTCAGTATTCAACCTTCATGAAGGTTTGTGATGCTGGGTGGAAGTGTGATGTATTATAGAGAGAGATGTTTTTCCATTTTAGTCTGCTCTATCTATTATGTATGTACAATACAATACAACCAAAAACGACACCCCCAAATTGATCATAATACCCAAAACTGAACATTATAACCTTTATAGCAGGTAGCATTTAGGACTGTTCTGAGCGTATGTTTTCAGGCTTCATAAAAGTATTTTATTGAAAGTATTTCTGAATGCTGAATAAGTGTAAATCATCTAAACATAAAAAACAGGCTCACACATCAAGTGTAGATGGATTAGACTGGGTGGGATACAACATGCAGAGAGCGCCCTCTGCTGGGTATCTACACAATATCATGAACACCTCAACAAGCAAATAACAATGAAACACATACAAACACCCTGAAGTTACAAACGAAGGTAAGAAAGTAAGAGGTGTTAAGAAAATGGAGTTGAGTTTTTGAAGAAGTGAGGTTGAGGGGTAAAGAGGGGGGAGCATTGAACAGAAACCATCCAAGTATTAAGATAATGCAGTTGGACGGACACAGAAATACATCCATATGTTTTATTATGTACATTACATTAGTGCAAAGCTAAACTTTGCTAATGCTAGCCAATGCTGCAGTTGTGTGTTTTTAAAAAAAGAATTTCATAAAGCCATCAGAGCACAAGTTTTTAGTCTTTTTACAGGGAACGAACAACGCCGCCATCTTCGCGACAAACAGCAGTTAAAACTTTCTGATCAACGTGACAAAACCAGCTTTTTAAAGGCAGAGTAATGTATGCTGCTTTACAATATTTACATATTTGAATTAATTGATGATTCATTATCTACAAACCAGATGAAACCCAGACTCACAAACTAAATATTGCCCGCCTTGCTGCGACTGACGTCTTCTAAAGTCTCTCATCTCTATCAAATACATTACAAACAGAACAAACTATAAAAAGGTTGTTGAGGAATGTCTGTTTTACAAATGTGAGCTCAGTTCAATGAGGCGCCTTGTTGCACACCTCCCCAGCGGCCTCCTGAAGTCTCTTTACGGACTCCATCACCAGCCGGAAGCTCTCATGGAAGCTGCCGTTACCTTCCTTCACCCAGGCGTCCTGCAGCTCTCTGACCCACATCAGGATCCCATCCAGCTGCTTCTGCACCTCCCTCTGCTCCTCCAGCTCAGCGAGCAGCGCCTGCCGGGCACAGACTTCTGCTTCGTAGGCTCCCTGGAGATCAGCAAGGGACGACTCCAACCTCAGCACCTCCTGGACGGAGCAGGACCGCAGTCAGAATCACAGACAGATACATTACTTATCATCCTGTGTTCAACAACATATACAGACGTTACGGAAGAGGAAATAAATTATGTCTGCTGGAAAATTAACACAGATATCAAAATGTGACTAATCTTTCCTTTCAGCCACATCTCAGTCTTCATCAGCAGATTTAGATACACAAAAACTGAAGTTTCACACTCATGTGATGGCGACTAAGCCATCTCCATGGAAACTGCGCAAACTCAATCTGCTGATGAAGACTGGGAGATGTAGCTGAAAGCTCTTGACTGAAAGTAAAAGGTGGACCTTGAGTTAGGATGATTTTCTAAAAGGTGAATTTATATATTATTATTATTGTTTATATTTTATTTATTAACCAAACACATAATAATATGTTTGTGGATGTCCTTATTATCCTAATACAGACACAGACAAATTGTAAAACACAAGAGTCAGTTAGTAATATCATAATAGTGATAATAAAGTCAGGTAATAATAAACATGTATGGTGAGCATGTACAGGTGTGTAATAACAGTAATATGAGGTATAACAGCACTTTAATGTAATCTGTGTCATTTTCCTTCTCCGCTGTTCTTGTCAAGCAGCTCAGCATCATCAAGTGTGTGTGAACTCAGCTCATAAGTGAAGCACAAACAGCCCTTCGCCCACCTGCATGTCTTGGGGGTAGTTGTTGTGAGACTTGTCCTCGGGCAGGAGGACATTTGGCGGCACGGAGAAGCACCGGTTGAGCAGCAGCGCCTCCATCCGCTCCGACAGCGGCTTGAACCGGTCTTCGAGGAACTGCTGTAGCTTCCGGCTGCACTCCCGGGCCCGGGTCCGGAGCAACTCCTCGGCCCCGTCCGACTCGCCTTTGCTCAGCTGCCTCACACACACCTTCTCCACGACGGGTAAAATGTCGTACAGGCAGTCCTGGAAGGCGCTGTACACCCGCAACATACATGTCTGCGGGGTGAAGCCGAAGAACTGTGTCTCGTACAGTTTCAGCTTGGACGGAGAGAGACTGCCCGTCTCCTCCTCGGCTCCTCCGCAGACATCCATCTCCTGCTCTTCCCGGGTTTCCCGCGCCATGTTCAACTGATGACGGGTGTTGTTGTTCCTTTTTCCGGTTGTGACGTCTGGCTGCTAAGCAACGACACCGCCACCACGTGGTGCGGAGGGCAGCTGTGTCACCTGAACTAAAATATATAATAATAATATAGTTGATATAATAAATAATGAAAATAAAATGAACATGAACACAAAACTATCATATCGATTATATTAGTTATTTTAAGATACGTTGCTGAAACATAACAGGAAGAAATAAAAAGGGTTTTGAGAGTGTGGATACAGTATGTTGCAAATAGTATTATTGAAATGATTAAATACAGTTTGGGGGGTTTTTTTAAGCCAAAATTGTTCCTTGTAGATTTCTTTACAATGCTTTATAATTAGTTTTACTCTGATTGGTGCTTGAAGTGTTGTTGTGAGATTAATCAGTGTGTCTGAGACCATCTGAGAGCACTCTGTTCTGGGCTCTGCTCTTGGGTTTGGAGAGCTTTTGAATGGAGCGTGACATTGAGCTGGGTTTTAAGGTGATTAAAAAAAATTCAAAAGTCTTTTCTTTTAAATGTTAGTTATCAGTGGGTATCTGCCTAATTCTGCTCTCCGTGCATTTGTTGGTGATTTTCTGTGTGTGTGTAAAATGTATGTGCAGAATCTTGCATGTAAAGATTCAGTATTTTCAACCTTCATGAAAGGGGTTGGTGATGCTGGGGGGAATGGTGATGTATTATAGAGAGAGATGTTTTTCCATTTTAGTCTGCTCTATCATAATTATGTATGTACAATACAATACAACCAAAACGACACCCAAAATTGATCATAATCCCAAAACGAACATTATAACCTTTATAGCAGTAGCATTTAGACTGTTCTGAGCGTATTATAAACATAAAAAACAGGCTTGGTTTAGTAAAGTCTTTTATTATCTTTTAACAGAGATTCTGCATAAGGTCAGTGTGTTAGAGTTCCTGGATGAAAACAAAACCTGCAGTCAACACAAATGTCACTTTGAAGAATAATTAGCAAGATAAAACCGGTGTATAATTATAGAAATATTAATATGATAGGCCTTTATACGGACTGGACTTTGTGACTGATGTTTTGAAACTTGCTGGATGTGTTCAGGGGTGCAACAGACTTTAAACTTTTACCCAGAGAGAACAGGGCAGTGTGACACTTTACAGGACTACTTTCAGTGCTGATGAGTATTCAGGCCCACTGCACCAGCATGGTTCATGGTTCATTATAATGAAGAAACATGTCACATGTTGTCACTCGCTGATGTGGATAATAGTACACATGTAATAGTTTTTAGCTGTATCAGGACTGGACTACACAGACAATACTTTTTAAGATCAGATTGCTGGTCTTGGTCTTTTCACACTTTGTCGACAAGAAAGACAGAATATCACCTGACCTCCACACAATCACTTTTTAAAAATGTTTCAATAGATTTTTACTTTACTATTCTTTGTTTGTTTGTTTTTGTATTTATTTATTTTTTATACGTTATTGCTGTCTGTATTGTTGTGTATGTTAAATCTTTTATTAAACTATTTAAAAAAAAAATATTTGTTCGTTAATTAAAAAAAACAATGTGACGCGTGACGTACGTGTCGGCCACGCCCCCTCGTTCTAAGGAAAGGGAGATGCGCACGCAGCCACTTCTTCCCCTCCAGTTTCTCTCTCTCTCTGTTGATAGCGGCGCTCGCTTCCACACGTGCAGTGTTTTCTATGTGAATCTCTCTTTCTGGGGCCCGTGTGTTTATAAACTCGTCGTGCTCTGCCACAACAGGTAAACGAACCGTCGGCGCTGAGCCTTTGGTCTTTTAACAACTGCGCAGCCGCTCTCCCGTCGGGGTTAGAGGTTACTGCTGGAAGTTGAGCCGGTCCGCCGCTGTTAGCATGCTGATGCTAGCTATCGTTAGCTGATGCGTCTACTTTTTTTTTTTTTTTTTGTTGTGGTGTTGCTAACGCTAGCCAGCTAGCAACCGCGACCAACCGAGCTGGTAAAACGCAGTTGTTAAAATGTCCTGAGCGCACTACGTGTGTGTGTGTCTGTACGTGGAGACAGACATGTGATGTTTCCTCCGTGTCGTCTTCTCTTCAGGTATAAAGCCATAGAAACTGACCGACCATGGGGGCTTATCTGTCGCAACCAAACACAACCAAGAGCTCGTCCGATGGCGGCAACAGCCACATGAGCTACGGTTTCTCTGCCATGCAGGGCTGGCGGGTCTCCATGGAGGTGAGGCGGAAAATGAATGAGCACATTAAAGACAACTATGTGTCCACTTTTCTTTTTTTTTTTCTCCCCTTGAACGCAACGAAGAGAAAATGTGTCTTGGGTTGTAAATGGCGGGATAACGAGACGTGAGGCTTTTCCTTCTGTGTGTTTGTGTTAGTGTTAGTGTTAGTATGGAGCTGATTGGCGTCTTTCCAGAGTACACTGGAAGTTCGTCACACTCCCAAACTAGCTGTTCCCTGAGCATCAGCTGCAGTCATGGACGAAATCCATAATTCATCCTCGGGGTGTTTTTTAGTTACATTGTAAGCGAGCTCCCATAACACCCGGGAGCATGTGATTGGGGTCTGCTGCAGAATATCAGTGGGTTGCAATTAGTTACAAAATGCCTGCGTGTGAGTAAATCAGTTCAAAGACGTGTGTGGACATGTGACAGTGATTGTAAGTCTCATCAGCAGTTACACAACACAAACTGTCACTTTGATGAGAGGCAGTAGGCCGATGTGAGTATTTAAATTAAACGACGATGAGATGAGATGATGTGTAGATCTCCTCTGTCTTATATATAAGTGTTGTTTTTTGTTTTTCACCAGAAGAGACATTTCGATTGCTGTGATTTGTGCCACTATGTAAGCTTGCCTTGCTGTCTGCGTTTTAATGTGCTTTTTTGTGTTTGTGTCACAGGATGCTCACAATTCAAACCCAGAGTTTGATGAGGAGACGGCCATGTTTGCTGTGTATGATGGACATGGAGGTAACACACACTGTAAAAAAAAACCTGCATTTTAACACTAAATTTATAATATTTTAAGTCTTTACCAAATTCTGATATGACAATGCAAAACACACACTGCCCTTAAATCATTTCCCCAACAGTTTTTCCCAAAAGTCACAATTATAAGCCTGCAGTTTTTGGATCACAGCCATTATTGTGAAGTGTTTCCATGGTTTTTCCCCTTTTGTATTGTTTGTTTAACACACCTCTCTGGGTATTATGTGTACACAGACCTATCCAAAGAATTTATATAACCTGCTGTTCCCATTTAGGTGAAGAGGTGGCTCTGTACTGTTCAAAGTATCTTCCTGACATTATCAAGGAGCAGAAGACCTATAAAGATGGAAAACTGCAAAAGGTGAGAAACCGTAGAAGCCGAGGAGGCGTGAGCTGTCCTAAACAAGTCTGAGAGCAGAGATCTTAATGGCCGTAGGTTACAAATGAGGTGGGATTGGAGGCAGTGTATTATGATTCTGTGTTCACTGCGTTTCCTCTGTTCCACAGTACTGACGCATTAAAACAGACACACAACACACATCATTTATTTCTAACCCAGTGTCCAAAACCATGTCGCTTGACATCTACTGACACAGCGTGTTGTTTCCAGGCTCTGGAGGACGCCTTCTTAGCCATTGACAGTAGAATTACCACAGAAGAAGTAATCAAGGAGCTGGTCCAGATCGCAGGTCGGCCCACCGAGGAGCCACCTGCTGAAAAAGTGGCGGAGGAGGACGATTGTGAGTGCTCACCTAACAGTAAAATAATGTTATTACCCTATTTAGACTATATGTTATTGTAATTGTGTAACTTTATTATCAAACCTTAAAGTAACTGATTATTAAACACAATCAAGGGAATGGGAAAATAAACACAAAACTGAGAATACAACAAATACAAGACGTCCTGAAGTGCATGTACACTGCTGGTAGATTAAAATCAGTGAATTTAAAGACAATGACAACCTTTAAATGGATCCGTGTTTCTGCCCTCCTCACAGTGGAGACGGAGGAGGCCGCTTTGCTCCACGAGGAAGCCACAATGACCATAGAGGAGCTGCTGGTACGCTATGGCCAGAACCTCAATGCTGTCAAGCATGCAGCTGCGATCAGGTAGTCTCTTTATTTTGACTTTTCATACAAGGACGAACACTAATGTGGAAATGAAGAGGAATTTGGTCGACATATAAAATTGATCACTTTGCTGTATCATGTCCCACATGAACAACCTGTTTCAACAGGAATCAGATTACATTAAGGAAGTAATGATGGCGTTACATGTTTTAATATTTGAAACCTTGGACAGAGAAAGTTTGGACAAGTTTGTACGTTTGCATTTAGTGAAATTGGGATGTGTAGTGTTTATTGAGAGACAGAATCCTCCGTTATCATTATCATTCACCTTTAAGTCCAGATTTCTTTGACTGTTGTGTAAAAAAACAGACTCTTATGTATTTCCTCTTTCTGTTAGTGCGGCTGCTAAGAAGGCGGCATGCTCAGGAGACAAAGGGGAATGTGGGGAAGGACCGAAGAAGGATGGCGTAAATGGAGAGGTGGAGGAGGAGAGCAACGGGAAGGTAAAGGAAGCCGAAGGAGCGGCATGCGGGTCTAAGCTGAGAGCCTGTCGGAGAACAGGAGGCGGTGAAAGCAGTGGTGCAGGTATGGAGCTGGAGTACATTTTTAGTACACCGGGTTAATGTTTTAGTTAAAAACTTTAATATAATCTTTAATATTTAAACCGGTATCCTTCTTTATGTGAAATAAATTGGTCTGCCTGCTGACTAAATGTTAAATACTGGTATAAAACAACTCAAATCTTTAAGTGTGTCAAAGTGGCACAGGCGGTAGAGGACAATTGAGCAAAAAAGTTCTCCTTTATTCTCTTCTACACTTATATTGGCCGTCTGTTCCTCTTGTGTAACGCCTCATTTTGCCTTCGTTTCTCCTCTGCAGCAGCTGACTGTGGAGGGTCGGGAAGCTCCAATGGAGAAGAAAAGGCTGGTAAGGCCGAAGGAGATGCAGGTCCCTCCTGCTCCTCCTTGTCCTCCAAGGCTACAGGAGATTCCAAGTCCAGGTTCTTTGATGACAGCGAGGAGTCTGAGGAGGGCGAAGAGGAGGAGGGTAGTGATGAAGAGGTGATGACAGGAGACCAGAATAAACCATCCTATCTTGCTGTGAAAGCTCGCTCACTTTTGATGACTTTGAAAAGCATTGTAACTCGTTGCCTTTTTTTTTTTATCAGGATGGCAGCGAAGAGGAAGAAGGTGACAGTAGTGAGTTGGAAGAAGAGGAGGATACAGAGGAGGGAGAGGAAGACTCTGAGGATGAGGAGGAGGAGGAAATGTGTCTACCTGGAATGGACGGCAAGGAGGAGGTGTGTGCAGAGGGTGTCTGGTGGTAACTAATCTAATGTGACTGACAAATCAACAGTACGACTAATACACGTTTCTACACGCACTCAGAATGCACTGGGAATATAGGCTGCCCTGACTCCTTAACTTTTTTTAGATGTCTGGTTGAAAGAGGGATTGAAGTGCAAATGGAGCCGATATGGTGTGATATTGAAGGTTTTGGGTAGAAGGTGCCTGCTCTGGTGTGTTAGACTGATCGCAGATGTTTTGAGCACAAAATGATAAAACTATCTGTGCTTCCCAAACTCCTATGGCTGGCCGCATAAAAATAAAGAATATGTATTAGAAATATTATCCATGGATAACATGACTGTGACTGGGTAATGTAATCATCAACAGTAACGTAGTCACCGATATGGATGTGTGCGATAAGTTGTCTGGTTTAAACGTTTCTATCTTCTCTAGTCGGTTAGAAAAACAATATTCTGTATTCTTAATATTCTATTAATGTAAGCCCTCAATGCTGGTTAACTTGTTTACTGTTGCATCTAAGATGTTAGACACTCGCCACTAGCAGGAGCAGCTCCGACAGACAGCCATAGCACAGCAGTCTCCTCTCCCAGTGCCCCAGATATAGTTAAACCAGCGAGGGGGGAAAGATGGCGGCCAGAGCAGTTTGTCAGTTTTTGATTCAGTAGAAAATGGAAATAAGGTTGTCAGAAATGAACGGGCATATAACCACTCAACCATGCGGAACCACATTGAGCATAGTAGACATAGCACTGCTAATGATAGCCACCCTCAGCAAACCAAGATGACGTCGTTTACCGTCACAACCCACAGATGCTGTAATCCCACTGAGACTTCTGTTGAAATATGGGAAATGTTTTATTTAGACAGTGTTTAACCTTATCAAATAAATTGTGCTCAGTTTTGACTATTACAATATGAATTGCCAATTTGTTGTCATAGACTTGGCTGATACAATTAGTTGACATTGATCACAACAAGTTACCATAGTATAGGACCTTTTCCACTGATAACTTGTACCAGGCTTGTCATAAATTGTTTGGCACATGTTTTAAAATGAGAAAGTGTTCTCATGTGCTAATGTTCATTGACGAAATTAGAAATTAGTCCTATTGGAAGCATTGTATGCAACACTTTCCAGCTATGAATCCAGCTAATCCAGTATGTTGGATGGCCACATTGCTGTCGAAGCCAAATTAAATGATTTGTGATGACTGTAAAGAGAAGAAGATTTGGTGTCTGCTTTAAATTCTTTTTTTCTGTAGAAAGCTTTTGTTTATTTCAGTCATAGGGTGAAAGAAATTGGGGGAATTTCAAAAATGATTCAAGAGTGTTAGTCTTTCAATGTTTGTGTAAAAAAAACTCCTCAGTCTATAAAACAGACTGTTTAAACAGTGTTCCACATCTCCCACATTCATGTATCCGCAGCCTGGCTCAGACAGCGGCACCACAGCTGTTGTGGCTCTGATCCGCGGAAAACAGCTGATCGTGGCCAATGCTGGAGACTCTCGCTGCGTGGTGTCCGAGCGAGGTACGTCCAAAAACTGTTGTCCCTATTTACCTTGACAGCAGTGTTGAATTGTTAAATTGTGTAAATTCAAAATATCTGTTAATTAAAACCAGTGACCGTCATATGTCCTTGATCCCCCATTCCACTGGAGTATATTGTATGTGAGCTCTGTTGTTTCAGTTTATTGGCAAACTGCTTGTACACAAAGCTCATGACTGACATATATTTAACATGTTGGTTACAATATTACATTACATTGCAAGAGTACCCAATTGTCTTTCCACATTCAGGTGACGTAGTCGTGTTACTGGGCAACAACCAATCTGTCACTCGGTTGCCACTGAAATGTAAAGTGGCCCATCTTTTAATAAAAGCCGTTGCTGTAATCTTGCAATGTGTCGCTGTAGGCAAAGCTGTCGACATGTCGTATGACCACAAGCCAGAGGACGAGGTGGAACTGGCTCGCATCAAAAACGCTGGAGGGAAAGTGACCATGGACGGACGGGTCAACGGTGGACTGAACCTCTCCAGAGCTATTGGTATGCTATTAGTCTTGTATTATGTATAATTGTATTTATTGCATCAGAATTAAACTCAGTTGCAGCTCTTGGTTAATAATTATTTTTGTGTTGGGTTCAAACCTGCAAAATAATCTTTTGCGCTCTCTGTGATGACCACAGCTATAAGCAAAACGAGATTGTCTTATCAAGCTGCTAACATGGACTGTGACTCTCAGGTGACCACTTCTATAAGAGGAACAAGGCTCTGCCTCCAGAGGAGCAGATGATTTCTGCGATGCCAGATGTCAAAGTTTTGACACTTAACGAGGACCACGACTTCATGGTCATTGCCTGCGACGGCATCTGGTGAGTTTGAGTGGTCACTTGCAGTTTGACCCAGTAAATGATTATTACTTAGGATTCATAATTTTTTCTTGTTTACATCTGACAAACTGCTGTAAAGAAAATGATATAAACCTGCAAACCTAGCTGTCTTGAATTCAAGCTGTCTCCAGACAGAGGACTCGTACGGCGTCTGCGGTGTTGGCAGGATGACAGCCACTGTAGACGCCATGTTGATGCCTGTGAGGTTGTCTTCACTCTTCATTTACCTGTTACCCTGTTTCTATGTGTGTTGTGTGCAGGAATGTGTTGAGCAGTCAGGAGGTGGTGGACTTCATCAGTGAGAGGATCAAACCAGACCAGAGTGGCAAAGTCAGACCCCTCTCAGCCATAGTGGAAGAGGTGAGGGAGAGCTCCTGCTTAATTCTTGTACATATTGAAGACCACATACATCAGTAGGTCTGTTTGTCAACAGATCGATCATATCTTACTGATTGAGACGGCAGCCTCTCCTCCCTTTACCAACGGCACCCAAATCCATATTAGCAATGAGAAGGAGGGTGACAGTTGACGAATGATAGTTGCTGTTGCTCTAGAAACAATTTGTTATATAAAAATAATATATTATAACAATATAATCCTGCTCTGAATTTATCTATCTTTCACAGTAATTAAAACAACCCAATAATAGTAGTAGTTGGGATTCAATTAAATGTGAAATACACAAGTGTGCCTTTTCCTTATTGAGCCATTAAACCGTGTCAGGATCTCATCTAGACAGAAAGGCCTTAATTTGTGCTTTTCAGCAGGTTTGTGTTTGACACTTGGAGGAATAATGTGTCTTCACACTGTGTGGAGCACAGGGTTATTAATGTTAAGAATGAAAAATGTCATTGAGACACGACCACAAACAATTATAACATTTTCTGGATGGCTGTAATTTTTTAAAATATGTACTGAAGTACTATTTTTAAATATTTTATCCTTGATTGTGTAGTCATACTATCTAGCTTATCGCCTAGGTTGACTGCCAGTCATAGTGAATAAAATAAGAATAAACACGTTCATGCATCTTTTTAAATTCACATCCCATATGTCCTCCTGACAGCTCTTGGACCACTGTTTGGCCCCTGACACATCTGGAGACGGGACAGGATGTGACAACATGACCTGCATCATCGTCACCCTCCGGCCACACCCATCCCCTGCTCATTCAGACAACACAAAGAAGAGGAAGCAACCGGAGGAGGCAGAAGGGACCGAGCCGGAGGAGAATGGAAACGACAGCAAAAAGGCTAAAAGTGACTAAAAGGCAAAGAGAAACTGTCCCAGAGGAAGCAGCTGGCCCCAGGCTACCCCAGATACACCAGAGACACATTCTGTTCAAAATTAAATCCTGACCTCACAAACATCAATTCAACCTAAAGCAGAAATTACAAATGCTATACGGATGCTCAAAGATCAGCTGAACTAAGATCATCAGTATAGCTTGGGTTTTTTTGCCTCTGTTTTAGGTGGATTCTCACTTTAACACCCCTCCAGTTGTTTCTTTTGTTCCTTCTTGGTGGAAAGAAGCTGGACACGCTTTTACTTCTTAAATTCAGAAGAGGCTGACTCGCCACTCACTGGCATGCTGAATAGCACATCAGTTTTCATGTATTTGTTACTAGAAGGAAGATGCAAGACGAAGACTAGTGTATATTTCTAAACATTTGAGAGATGTATTGCCATCTCTGCAGACATGCATTCTTGTTAAATATTTTTCCCCCCATGACACATTCAGTTTGTTTTTATTGGAGGTTTGAGGATGGCTGTTGTAGTGACCTGTGTCTGATTGCTGTTCACATCTTAACAGAGTGACACATGCTTTTTCATCGCGGTTTTGCAGTATGAAATGTGCATTATTACTTTTTCCAATAGGAAACTGTACACTGTGTTGTGCCCGAATTACAAGGCAGTCATTGTATCTCAACATAGTGCCATAAAACCATGAATTCTTTTCATGAGCGCCATTTCACATCCTCAAATTAACTGAACCCAGAGAAGGGACCAGAAATGGCTGCTGATTGGCATTGCCATAAAGGTAACTATAGAAAAACTGATCAGATGAGACAATATTAGTGTCCTTTCTATCCCAAATTGAAGATTCAAGATTGCAGTGAGTGCGTGTGCTAGTCTGGTGTCGCAGTGAATGTGTTGGTACCCTGTTACAGAGTTTGTTTAGGGGTAGTTTGAATGACCACAGCCAGAAGAACTGAGGGAACTGAGTCCAGTTGCTCGTTTGCCATTTATATGTATTTTCTTTTTCTCATTTTTTCCCCAACACCCATTCACTGGTGAGGATATATACTTTTTTTTTTTTCCTCCAGTCTTGCTGGTCACATAATCAACGATACATCACCAACATCTTGCCTTTTTTTTCATTCCTGCTTTGTGTTTTTGTCTTGATCAAAATCTCTAAATTTCCAGACGGAGAGAAAAGAGTGCCAGGGTTTTGGGAGTTGGTCTACTTTCATCTGTAAGATCTGATAGCTGGGAAACCGTCAGCAGGGAAACATACAGAGACATAAAGGGCAACAAGCCTTTTATGTCTCTATATGATCATCCAGAAAGAGGTGGTGATTAAAGCCCTGGACTGACCTTCCACACACAGCTCTACTCCATGACTACAATCCTTAACCCCATTTACTCTCCCTTTGTCCCCCATTTCCATTACAACTTTTTTTAAGATCATCTCTAAGACGTGTTTTAAGTAAAAAAAGAAATTTCCACTCAAATGTTTATTTTTTTCCATTTCTGATTAATCAGTTTTCTGTAAGTTTTTAAAAAAGTCCTTTTTGAGCACACTCTGAAAATGCCCTGACGCTGGACTGTGGAGAGGATGCACAAGGTTATTTTTTTGAGTGAAATAAAATTTGAAGTTCATTGCACCAAGACAGTATAACTGTATAGAAGATAATTTTCTCTTTTAGTTGCAGAAGCCTCATTTAAACAATGTTGTGTGACTGTAAGTTTGTTTCTAGTGTACTCGTCACCATGCCCTTTTTTTCTGTACATAGTTTTTTCAATACTTGTAATTGAAGAAAAAGAAAATGCTTTTTCTTTGTAATTGTGAGTCAATGTGACATTTTTGGTGCATACTCTTTTGACACCAGTATGTAAGTACATACAAATACATTTTTTAAATAATGGGACAACTGTATTCATGTGTTGTTTTTTTTAAACAAACAAAAACAACCACTGCTGCATCTGGTTTTTAATTAGAGGTTTCAGAAAAGCCTTTTATTGTGAAATTCTGTTCACAGAGTTGATGTATATTGCAGAAGTTGAATTGAGCAAAACATTTTCATCAGGTTCAATTTGCCACTGGCAATCGGACAATACTGGTGTTAACTAGAATACAGTATCCTGAAGTCATCAATATTTTTGGTTGTTAATGAACATCAGTAGCTTAGCATAGCTGCCACTGAAGATTCAATCCATATGATTGAATAAAGCATAAAAACAAATTTGCAAGCACTGCCGCTCTCGGCTTCTGATAGCAGCTCTGTGAGACTGGCACATCTGTGCCTTGAGCTAAATGCTATTATGAGCATGCTTACATGCACATTATGGAAATGCTAAGTAGGTGCAAGGTTTACTGTGTTCACCACCTTAGTTTAGAGTGTTAGCATGCTTACATTTGTTAATTAGCACAAAGTAGGTTCCAGCTAAGGCTGATGTCATTAGTTTTGCAAGCATTTGGTCTAATTATTAGATCAATTACACATTCTGACCTAATCATGGTAGATGAAAAGTTAAGGGATCACCAAAGATATCAGGCCTACGGCTAATTCTGACAGGTACCAAATTTAATGATAGTCCCATCAAATAGGTCCCAAAACATTTGACTCAAAAACACAATTGTCACTTTAAAATGAGGAGGGTGCTGCCTGCAGAGCTTCAAGGACACTACTGATGTTCTTTAACATGTACATACAGTACATTCCTGCAGATGGCAGCAAAGACATTTGGACCAGTTATGGTAATGGTTAGAGATCTTAAGTTCTTTAACCATGTGCCATGAAGGGCAAAGGGTCTGTAGGGATCCATCACAGCCAGAAAGTAAAGCTCCTGATTTCACTGACACACACACACACACACGTTCAATCAACAAGGACATATTGATCAGTGACCGCACTTGAATCAAAGGAAAACCCGAGGACCGTTTGCCCTCCATGGCACATGATTACAGTCCTTCTTGTGAAGATGGAGTGGGTATGTTAAACTTTAAATCCCCATAGAAACTGCAAAGCAAAAGAGGACAGACGTTAGTTCCCATCAGCCTCGGGGCCTCTCTGTCCTGCTCTACAGTCCTGGTGGTTGCTCTGCCCCCCGAGGATCACTGTAGCTGCAGGAACAATAGAAAGCAAGACAGGAAACACACCCTGTCCTTGGAATCTAAAAATGTCATCACACACACAGCAGAATACACACATTTTCTACTTTAACAGGAAGGATGTTTTTTTTCGTTCTTGTCTGTAGATTAGCGGCTTCAGTGGTGTGTGTGGATACAGGGAGTGCGTGCAAAGTTTGTTAGTCTGGGTGTTCATTCTCATGCTGGTAGAGACAGAAATATAAGCCAAGACACACTTTGGGTTTGTGCCTGTATCTGTGTGAACGTGACTGCTATGTCCTTGGATGTATAATGAATATGATTAAAACTACACTGCTCTGTTCCTGGCTAGACTGCTATGCCAAAAATAAGACTCCCCTCGTCCCCCCGTCACTCCCCTCTCCACCAGTCATTGAGCACATGAATCCTAGCTGTGAGGCTATTGAAAATCAGTTGTTACGTATAACTATGTCTGGCTGTTTCTCATTTACTAAGGCCACTGTAGGAAGCTGTTCCAGGCTGATTTTTCACTGCAGTAACTATAAAAAATGTTTCTAAAAGGCTACTACTATGGAGCTCAATGGCAGCCTTGTCCAGCTGTGTGTGTGTTGGGGGAGTTGCTTCTGTCTCCAGACTCTTAAACTTGACTGATGGCTGTGGAAGAGAACCACAGGAGTCCAACTAGACCTGGCCTGCAATTGTACATATAGAACTCTGTGTGTGTGTGCGCGTGTGTGTGCGTGCCGTCTAGCCAACAGGTCTTATATAGAAAGCTGAACCACAATAGCAGGTTGTAGTTAGACACTGTAAGTATTCATCAAGATCTTTTTCGATCTCCTGCTCTTGCTCCTAAAACTGCATTGGCCTCGTCGCCCTCACATTGCAGAGAGTTCAGCAATGCCCCAACACACACACACACACACACACACACACACACATTCCAGCGGTCACTGTAGTGTAGTTTAAATACTTGCTGTGACCAAAAATAGTTAACTATAAGGTCTTTTTCACACACCTCTGTATTCCTGTCACTAATGTTATCATTTGCAGAAGTAGTAGCACAGATTGGATAAATAGTAGTAATATTATTTATTAGATTATAAATAAGTATGATCTTATGTGAGGTTTAGTTAGTCATTGTAACAATTTGCATTTCCCCTGTAATGGATGTTGCAAAAGAGAAAATATTTAATGATTTATAATTTCCTTCTTTACAGACGTCTGTACTTCTATACTTGTGATATGCACACACACCCAACCCTATATTGCTTACACACACACACACACACACCCACCACACAACACACACAACACACACACCACCTACACACGGCCAGTTGATGTAGGAAGATGTTCAAAGTCCAGCTGCTCTATTACTGCAGGATGTACCGAGCATGTAGTTTCAAGACAATCTGTGTGTGTGTGTGTGTGTGTGTGTTGTGTGTGTGTGTGTGTGTGTGTGTGTGTGTGTGTGTGTGTATGTTCATTTGTAATTCATCAGCATCAAGCTAAGCAGTTTGGGTAAACTGAGTCGTAGAAAAACAGGAAAACTCCCCACATCCTTTTTTCTTTTCCTCTCTTCCATTTCACCTCTCCTCCACCCACTGTCACTTCCTGTCACCTTATCTTTTCTCTTCCCTCTTTGTCTTCTGATATTTTCCTTGTTTTACTTTCTATTTCCTTCCTTACTGTCACTTGGTTTGTCTCGTTTTCGCTCTTCCCGTTCTTGTGTTTCATCCTTCAACAAACTATCAAAAGAGGAGTAAATTACCAGTGGTGGAAAGAAACCAAGTACATTTAAGATACACATTAGTGCATCATTATAATTCAATAATATAATATACATTAATATAATGTAGATTATTCTGCAATGGGCCATTCTGCATAATGAGTATTTTTACTTTAGGTACATTTTATGATGCTAATACATCATTTTGTACTGAAATAACATTTTAAATACACGACTTTCATTTGTCACAAAGTATTTTTACACTGTTGCTTTGCTACTTTTACTTAAGTAAAACATTATTCCACCACTGCAAATCACAAACACTTACCAATGACAATTACAAAAAAAATACTTAAAATAAAAAAAATAATATTATGTCAAGATCCATTAAAAACAAATGAAAATAGAGAATTAAACTGTAGAAATGTATTGAAAATATTAGATGGGCAATGCAAACTAGATTATTTTCATCATCAGCTGAAATATGGGAGATTGGACACACCAATGTGCAAAAGACCACATTTAGTAAGATGTTTTATTTTAACACACAGTTACTGTAAGCCTACATGCAAGTACACATCTGTGCATACTTCGTTTGTGCGTACAAAAATGTGCTTAATATAAACATTAAGTCAAAGACATCAGGGTTCATAAGGGCAGCAAATTCCAAGACCTGAAACACAGACACAACTGATCATTCACCTACACACCTGTATGCACACACGCACAAACGCACACACACACACACACACACACACACAATCATGCATGCATGCTGAAACAGTTTCACACATATCGGGACATCAGAATGTACAGTAGGTAAACACTCACACACACACAGGGTGCAGTCAGAGATAAGAGAGAAGTGGAAACAAGCAGCCGTCTGATCAGCGGACATACTGCTGCTCTTACATCACCTACAAATGCTTCACTCTCTCATTCTTTCCCAGCCACAGATTCACCTCTTATCTGACTCTCCCCAGCAACATTTCTGTGTCTATTCAGCATATTTGCCCTTTTCCCACAAAAATGGATTTTAATCTCTCTTCCCATCAGTTTTCTTTTCGTTTTGCCCCCTTTTCAATCAAACACTTGTTCTCATTTTAACAGTAAAGCAGTGTGCAGTGATGCTTCCTTCACCAACAGACTACTGTACGCTGCGCACGAAGAAATAGGGCTTTATTTTACAGTAATAAAAAGTATTTTATGCTGTTCTGTTGCATAAATAACGTTTGGTTAAAGTTATGCACTGGATGCTTAAGCACAGCTCTTTGGGTTTTAAATTTCTAAACTGTACCTTTTGTGAAACACTAGAAATCAAAAGGTTTTCTGTGGTCTGCTTGAAATCATGATGGTTCCAGTGGATTAAAGTACGGTAGTAACAAGTTTCCATGCAAAAAAAGGGTGAAGTATCAGTTAAAAGTCAGATTTGGCTCCTTGCTGTAAGAATTTGCTCTTTGGTATATTTTTTTCCCTCTGACTTCCCGATCATTTTGACACATGATCCTGTCACGGCTTTTATTTCCCTTTATCTCCGTGATTCAGTTAGTCATGGAGCAGGTCACGAGATCCTGGTGAAAAAACAGTCAACTCTGAGGGCAGTTCACTCCCCCTCCCAGTTATTAAGAGAAATATACTTTCTCTTAATAACATTAATGGTAGTTTAACCTATCGTGACCACTAGAAGAAAACATGACTTTAAGGGAAATAAAGTAATAAAATGCTGCTTCAGTAAATGTCCTAAATATGCATGCACTTTCATTATACACATTAGTTTATTTTACACATTGGTTTTGTACAGGCAAGTGTGCTGGTTAGGGCTTTAAGTATAGTATGACCTACTTTAAACAGTACTCTGGAGTCACTGTGGGATCTACCACACTGAGGACATTCATTACTGAGAGTATGTCTTGACAGTGAGGTTTCATTGGTGTGTTCGGACATAATGCTGCTGAAAATGCTTCCTGTTACCTACATGTCTGCTTTCTGTCTGTGAAAGAGCTGTTGTATAGCTGTCACATGCATTAATGCAGAGAAAGACTGTTCTTCCTGCTATAATCAAGGGTCATATGTAAAACCACAGCCTCGTC